GTCTTGTTAGATAGAAGCTTCTTGAAAACATCGCGTCGCTTAGTAGCGAGCTGCCTTATAGCGAGATATCCTGTCGCGAGCTACCTTGTAGCGAGCTCCTAGGGGTGCTTCGAGGTGATTCCTCTTAAGGTTGCCTTTGGGGCAGTTTTTCTACCCAAGTATTGGAGCGAGCTGGTTACCCTAGCTTGCGAGTTGGGATAGACTTGTCTTGGAGTATTCCCTTTCAGTACATCGGGGCTCCTCGAGCTCGCACTGTAGTGAACTAACCCTATAGCGAGCTATGATGTAGCGAGTTGTCCTGCGGGCTTGTTACTTAGTCGCGGTCAAGCTGTGGTGTTGAACTGTTACTTGTGCTGAGTTATGTCCACGTGTCACTGTCTCAAGGGGTGTGGTCAAATCACCCTCCATCATGTTTAAAAAGTCAACATTTCAAAACAACAATAACAATAACATTAATAACAATGACAATGATAACTGAAGCGCAAAAACAGGCAGTGATAATAACAAGATTGATGACATGATGATGTTCGGAACTTGGCATGGGTATTCATGGTAACAGAACTTAGCAAACAATGTAACAATATAAGTTTAACTTCAACGTTATAAATTTATAATGTCAAGATCTACTATAAATTGAAGCATGAAATAGAACTAGTTATCTATTTACTCGCATGGATCCAAAAATAGATAAAATTTAAACTCAATGTTCCTAGAAGAAAGGGAAAAAATTAAAGAGATGAATTGATGTTGACCACCAAATCCACATAAACAAAACACATGAATAATGAATTGATGTTGACACCCATTCCAAATGTGAACCGTGCTTATGCCATGGTCATACAAGAAGTAACCAACCCATGGTTTCTCAAAAGGAGTCATTGGTGGACATTGCTGTTGCATTCTATGCGGATAAATCTGGTGTTCGGAGTAATGGAAATCCCATCAAACCTAAACCCAAATGTAAATATTGCAAAATGACAGGGCATACTAGAGATAGGTGTTTTGAACTCATCAGATACCCTGAACGTTGGGATAAGGGTCATTCAACTAAGAATCCCAAGAATGGGCTCAAGAATGGAAAATCAGCACATGCAGCCTGTGTGAGAGGTGAATCATCTAGATCTCAAGAAGTAGCACCCGTATCCCTCACCATAGACCAATATAATCAACTGCTAAAGCTACTAAGTAATGGCAGTCAAGGTCCACTAGCTACTTCAACCATGATTGGTAAGGATCTCTCACTCCTTCAATAAATTCAAGCATTTGGATTTTGGACAGCGGGGCTTCAGACCATATGAACCTTATTCACCCACTATGAAACCTTAACAAACACTTTCTCTATTAGATTGCCAAATAATGATCTCTTATGCGCCACTCATATAGGAACGATCACACTAAGGCCTGACCTTATAATTCAAAATGTACTATATGTGCCTAACTTCATGTATAATCTCTTGTCTATAAGAAGACTCACAACATAGTTAAATTGTGTTGCCCTCTTCTCTTCCACATCCTGTGTGTTACAGGACCAACACTTGAAGACGATTGGCAAGGGACATCTGTTTGATGGAGTCTACTATTTGGACCCTGGTGCTTAAGTAGTGGTTTGTACATCACATACAGACAAAGATGGATATACCTCATGGCATAATAGGCTCGGGCATGCTCCTACTCGTCTGATATCTTTAATACTAAATAGACCTATTGCAAATAGCAGTATTGGGGTTTGTGATGCCTGCAGAAGAGCAACACATAATATAATTCCTTAATAAGCCTGTCAAGAGCAACTTCAGCCCTTGCATTGATACATGTTGACACATGGGGTCCTTATCATGTTCCTTCACATTCAGGTGCAAGATATTTCTTGACCATTATAAATGATTATAGCAGATGTATTTGGTTGTACCTGATGAAGTTTAAATCGAAAACCTTCTCTTTACTTGTTTCATTTGTAACATGGTAAGAACTCAATTCAAATGTAATGTTCAACAAATCAGAATTAATAATGGCAAAGAATTCCTTTCTGATCACATTCAGTTATTCTTTGCTCAAAATGGGATTATGCATCAAAGGACCTATGTCGACTCCCCACAACAAAATGATCGTGTTGAGAGAAAACACAGGCATTTGTTAGAGGTTGTCCGTGCTTTGCGGTTTCAAGCTTCACTACCAATCAGATTCTAGGGTGAGTGTGTGCTCACTACAGCATACATAATTAATCATTTCCCAACCGTTCCTCTTCAAGGTAAGTCCCCAATTAAGTTACTTTTTGGAAAGCCTCCCACCTTCAATCATTTGCTCATCTTTGGATGTTTGTAGGAGCGACCATTAGACACAGATAAATTTGCATCTCGGGCAACCCGGTGTGTATTTGTTGGCTATTTGTATGGACAGAAGGGGTATCGAGTATATAGCCTCGAGACCCATTGAATCTTCACCTCGAGGGATGTAAGCTTCTATGAAGATATCTTCCCATATGCCAATGATCCCTCTAACCAAAACCAGAATCCAAACATTGTGTTTCCACTCCCTCAGACTAAACAACAAATAGATCCCACTGTGCTTAACCATTCAGACCAGCCCACTAAATCTGTGATACCCCAAGATAATGCCACGACAAACCTACACCCACCTCCCCAGCATGTTGAACCGTCCCGGCCTCAACGTGCTAGGAGACCACCCACCCACCCTCAAGGACTTCATCTGTAACCTGCCACAGCCTCAACTGAACCCACTGAGCCCAAATCATATGCTCAGGCGGCCCATGATCCAAATTGGGAACAAGCCATGAATGAAGAAATACAAGCGCTCGAGAGAAATCAAACATGGTTTATAGTCGACCTTCCTCCGATAAAGAAACCCATTGGAGCAAGGTGGATATACAAACTAAAACATCGTGTCAACGACACGATAGAGCGCTACAAGGCCCGCCTAGTAGCAAAGGGATACAACCAGGTAGAGGGATATGATTATCATGATACATATGCTCCTGTGGCGAAACTAGTCACACTTCGACGCTTATTAGCTATAGTGGCATCAAAAGGCTGGGAACTCCACCAGTTGGATGCCAACAATGCTTTCTTGAATGGGGATTTGATAGAAGATGTGTACATGAGCACACCTCCTGGCTTTCCCAAGCAACCGGAGAATAAGGTTTGCAAGTTGCACAAGTCCTTATATGGGCTTAAACAAGTCTCACAAATGTTGGTATGAGAAGTTTGCAAATGCATTGACATGCATTGGGTTTAGTTAGTCCACAACAGGTTACTCCCTCTTCACATCAAAGAAAAATGGGTCATTCATTATGGTTTTGGTGTATGTTGATGACCTGGTCATAACCGAAAATGATCCATCCCGCATAGGTGAACTCAAGCTACATCTTTATGAATGCTTCTCCTTGAAAGACCTAGGCCTACTCAAATACTTCCTGAGCTTAGAAATTATGCACAACAGCTCTGGAATTTTCGTTTGTCAGAATAAATATGCTTTGGACATCATTGTTGACACAAGGATGGAGGATTGCAAGCTCGCATCACATCCTATGGTGCAACAAAAACACTTTGTTGACAACAATAGCCCACTACTAGATGATCCAAGTCAATATAGGCACTTAGTAGGTTGGCTAGTTTACTTGATGGTCACCAAGCCAGAACTCTGCTTTCAACCAGAACTCTGCTTTCTAGTGCACATACTGTCACAATTCTTAAGCAAGTCGCACGCAAAGCATGTGGAAGCTGCTAAGAGAGTGGTAAGATTCGTCAAAGCCAATCCCAGTCATGGAATATTCTTTCCGTCAAACAATGAGATGTTGCTCCAAATCTATTGTGATTCTGATTGGGCCTCTTGCCCATTAACTTGGAGGTCCACTACAGGTTATGTTGCATTGCTCGGCAGCGCCATCATTTCATGGAAAACTAAAAAACAGACAACTGTGTCACATTCATCTGCAAAAGCTGAATATCGGGCCATGGCTGTTGCCACTGATGAGCTATTATGGTTTATACGTCTGCTCCGAGACTTAGACATTCCCATTTCTGGTCCTATGGAGCTTTTCGGTGACAATCGATATTGATTTCCATTCTGTGCATGAACAAGTTCAGAACAAAACCGTACACCTCTGACATATCTCTACAAAGTGACAGCCGGCCGATCTCTTTACAAACGCTCCGGGGCAATTGGTAGGGGTGAGTCAGATTGGATAATAATCAGCTTAGAACTATTCAACCATTGTCCATTGCTAATTTCTAGACTATAGCTGATAATGGCAAATCATTTTTTATCTCAGTAATCAGTCTCCCAAAATAAAGTCGAACCAGGCCTTTAGTACTCGCACTCTGCTATTCAATAAATTAACATGTTTCTGCAATCTCCAAAGCTACTTTCTCATTTCTTTTATATCTCAATCTTTTTCTTGTTGCTGATCCCTTCTGCAATGGACTCATCGAACTTGATGAACTCACATGGAGCAGTGGTCAAGCCTCATATAAAACCCAGTACGCCTCTGGGACAACACAACAGGAAAGTTCACAGATTTCACCGCTCAGTTCTCCTTTACCGTCGACTCCATGAATGATAGAAGATATGCAGATGGTTTGGCTTTCTTCCTCGCTCCCTATGGTTTTAGCTTGCCTTCTAGTTGCTGCAACATAGGCATTTTTAAATGCGGCAGTGAAGTGCAGAAAACAGCAAATCAAATTGTTGCAGTGGAGTTTGATAGTTATGGAAACTCTTGGGATCCAATACAATCTCTAACCAATTGGAATCTTAAGCCCTATCATGTAGTATTGAAATAAACTCTAGTGATTCTGTGGTAACTGGTAGATGGACTACAAATCTTGAGGATGGCAAAACAACTACGGCTCGGATTAGCTTTAGTTCTACTACAAAAAGGTTGAGTGTTTCTTGGACATATGCTAACAATCCGACTCTAAGCCTTTCTTATGAAGTTGATCTGAAGCAAATCTTACCTGAATGGTTACTGTTGGGTTTGCTGGATCCACTGGTACGACAGGCGAGTTTCATCGAATCCACTCCTGGGATTTTTATTCAAGCTTAGAGATGGAGAAGTCACACAACTCAACTATACGGAATAGAAAGAATACTGGAGTGGTGGTTGGTGGAGGTTGCTTGGCATTGGGCTTGGGTTTGGTATGTTTCATCTTGTGGATGAAGAGGAAAAGGGATAAAAAGGAAGAACAAGATGATATCATTGTGGAATTTGAAATAACTTTGAAAAGGGAACTGGACCCAAAATGTTCTTGTACCGTGAATTGGCTCAGGCAACAAATAACTTTGCAGAGGAACAAAATCTTGGAGAGGGAGGGTTTGGAGGGGTTTACAGAGGGTTTTTGAGAGACCTGAAAGTGGATGTTGCCGTCAAGAGGGTTTCCAAAGGGTCTAAACAAGGATTAAAGGAGAATATGTCTGAGGTGAAGATCATTAGTCGATTGGTTGGTGCCACCAACGAAATGAGTTCCTGCTTGTATATGAGTTCATGCCCAATGGAAGCCTTGATACCCATCTCTTTGGACAGAATGGATCACTGCTAACTTGGGAGATAAGGTACAAGATAGCTCTTGGATTGGCCTCGGCATTGTTCTATCCGCATGAAGAATGTGAACAGTGTGTCATGCATAGAGATTAAATCCAGCAATGTAATGCTGGACTCTAACTTGAATGCAAAGCTAGGGGATTTTGGGCTAGCCAAACTTGTAGACCATGGACAGGGTAGACCATGGACAGGGGTCACAGACAACTATAGTGGCTGGTACATTGGGTTACATGGCTCCAGAATGTGTTACAACTGGTAAGACCAGCAAGGAGTCTGATGTCTACAGCTATGGAATTGTTGCTTTGGAAATTGCTTGTGGAAGGTGACCCATTGAAACATTACTAGAAGCAAGAAAGATAAGGTTGGTAGAGTGGGTATGGGAGCTCTATGGCAGTGGAAACCTTCTTGAAGTGGTACAGGCTACGATCAGAAACAGATGGAGTGCCTTATGGTTGTTGGGCTATGGTGTGCCCACCCAGATTGCAAGTTCCAACCTTTCATAAGGCAAGAAATGCAGGTGCTGGGTCCGTTTGGTTTGCAGGAATAGGGGTATGGAATCAGAATCGGAATGGGCTATTTCGATTTCAACTGTTTGATTGGGTGGAATCGGAATCCCATTCCCATTCCTGTTGGAATGACATTCCCCCATTTGAGGGAATGATGATTCCCTGTCCCTCCCTTGGGAATGAAATATCATTCCTTCTTATTATAATTCTCATTCACATTCCTATATGAACCAAACAGACAATGAGAATGAACCATTCTGATTCCAATTCTAAAGTATTTCAATTCCGATTCCAACTACAAATCAAATGAACCCTTAGTTTTGAATCTCCATTGCCCATTCTCCCATCCATGATGCCCATGCCCACTTATTACTCCCCTGCATTGAAGAATATTTCTGGTAGGTCAACTTCATCCTCTGATGGTGCTTTTTATGCTGCAACTGCTCCTCCTAGTACGTCCATCTTAAACCCACGTTAAGCTAATTAAAAGCTTGTATGCCTAGCTTGATCACCTTGCCAAGCTTCTTTCTTTTTTTCAATATAGATTTCAGCCTAGAAATAAATGTTTTGTATCTTGTGGTTAGGTATGTGAATAATTCCTTAAAAAAGATGATATGATAATTAATTAGGAAATAGATTTAGACACCCGTGCAATGCACGGGAATAGAGATGTATTATGATTAGATTTCTACTTTTTTAATAAAAAAAAAAAGGATATCTTGTTTACTTAACCTAGATGAACTTCAGACATGCACCCATGCATGCACTGTCAATTTTAAGTATTTCTCTTTAAATATTCAAAATATATTCACATTAACATGTACAACACAATATATAAGAAGAGGGGAAACAGTCTGGTTGGTATTAGATTATGTCTATTCTAAGCCCAGTGTTGAATCCCAAGCCTAACCCAACCTGACCTTCAACTCGTTGTTAGGTTATGGGGTTTGGACATATTAAGCAAATAACTTGGTTTTATATCAAGACATACAATTGAAAAAAAAAATGCAAAGTGATGCTAATTTATATGAAATAGTAGCCCTAGAACCAAGGTGATAAACCATGCTCTCATGATATTATCTTTGAAAAAGCAAAAATAACTTAATTACTACTAATTATGCAAACAACTTGATTCCAAGTCTCTAATAATAGCAACAAAGTTGCTTCTTGAGAAAGTGGTTGCTATAGTGACAAACTTTGGAGTTCAATGCAGGACATTTCTTCATCTTGCTAATTATATAAGAAATATATTTACATGTTTTCAGGAGATGCTGTTATAGGTTTTAATAAGTAGGACATACCTACAGATCCATTCAATCAAACTAAAATGAATTAGCAAAATTAGAGGTACAATACTAGTGATGATAAAAAGAAAAGGCAAGAGAAGAAACACTTTGGAGAAAGAAGAAATCAGATTTGATCCTCATAGAGCATTCCTTAAACCAACCTCACAGCACAATATTGCAGCCATGTATTGTGAATATTTCCCCATGAATGATAACATACAAGTAAGAGAAATGTTCCCAATACATGGCTAAATATGTTGTGAGGTTGGTGTGAGGAACATTCTGTGAGGAGCAGATTTAAATTAGTGAAAGAAAATATATGGAAAAGTACAGACATGCCCATTGCAAATTTCTGAATTCTAATGCAAATCTATGAACATTCAAAATTTCAAACATCTCCACTCTATACACTAATGCCCACCCATGAATTGGCATCAATTCCGAGCTGGCACCTACTCAAATTGTACTTTGGGCCTAAGAATCCTGACCCTGGGCTGAACCGTAATTCTCCCGAAAATATATAATAGTGATCGTTTAGAAAGAGAGAAATTTTAGGTGATTTTAATTTAGTAGATGGTAAGAAATAAATGGCGATTGAAAGATCACAGATTTCAAGTACTTAAATGTTCAGCTATATTGCAATTGTTAACTTAAGCCCTGGTTGATGATTAAGTATTTGTTAAAAGAAAGAAGTACTTATTTTAACAACCACTTAAGGTTGTTTGGTAAAACAACCACTTAAGGTTGTTTGGTAATCCACTTTCGAAATCATTTATGATGTTTTTTAAGCGCTTATTGGGATGGGGATGTTTGGTAACCTACTTTCCTCATAAGTGCTTATATTGACAATTTTAGTCCACGTGGGCTCACATGTGAATTGCCATGTGGATATTATAAACAATCCAAATATATATAATAATAATAAATAATAAACACTATATTGCGAAGAAACGAAAATCCTTTATTCAAATTTTGTTAATAATACCCTCACAAGTCACAACAAAGGACCAAGAGATACCAAGGTTTTTAAAACCAACCCGGAGGCAGAACTGATTAGGGGTCCAGTTACTAGGTCGAACGGTCCGACTATTCAAACCGAATGGTCGGCCTATTTTGACAAAAATAAAATAAAATGTTAAAATAACTAAACGGTTTGACAATCCGACCCAGTTTTGAAAACCCTAAGAGATACTAATTCTTCCCCCACCATCTGGGTATCTAATTATTTTGATATTTCCTTCTCTTCTTTTGATAATCAAGCTTGCGCCACAACAAGAAAGCAATACAGCACCTAGCTTTGTTAAACGAACTCGCAAAAAGGGCATAAAAAGCAAGAGAACCCACAAAATGAAGAAAGCAAAATAGTTGAAGATTACATTTTGCAGACATAACAGTTGAACAAGTGGAAGAAGTAAAATGAGTTCAATCGTAGTTGCAATAGTGTCAGAGAAATTAAAACTCCAGTCCTAGAACGAAAGACGGTAAATCAATAGACTGCCTCTCAAATCTTCTTCAATAATTGAAGAGCATAAAGTCATTGACATTAAAACAAGGTTCAAAGTATCGACATGTATCAGCTCGCATTGTCCGATACATATCGTGCCGATGGATTTTTGATACGCACTTACAGGGGGTGTGTCGAGTCAGCCACTGATTCAAAGGGTAGTTGGGACTTAAACCAACCCCTTGGGACCGATTTCAAAAATAAAAAAGTAAAACACATAAAAAA